TTCCTTTTGAACTTCTCTAGTTGGACAGAACACTCTGCCTCACAGATGACGATCACCCCTGTGCAGCCTCCACATTTGTGGAGGGCACCAGGTGCCATCTCAAGAGGGGCACGTCACAGAGCTAGCCTGGGTTTGGCTTCTCCCCGTTGTCAACATCAGTCAGCTTCCCTGTGCTGTGTAAGAAAATGGTAGAAGCTGTGAGCAGTTTGGTGGCCGGTTTGGCCACAGAGGTTTTGTGACAGGAAGGGTTTTGCATCTGAGGAAGCTGAAATTATTGATATCCTAGAATGTGAAAATTTTGAGTGACAGTATGTACATTTTAAAGAAAATTATGAATCTATTAATTTTCAAAGGTTTGTAATATTTATAATGTGTTTGGTCTGTAAAAATTATAATAAATAAAAACACTCTTTGGTTGTAGCTGGCAAGAATATGAATTTTAGGGCCCTCACACTATCCTGTCAGGGATTGCAGTTAAAGTGGATGCAGACTCTTAGGCCTGATATCCTCTATCTCACCTGCCACTGGAACTGGACCATCAGGGATGGTCCATGAGAGCGCTTCCTCTCTAACTCCTTCGTGCGCATCAACAGTGGAAGCTCTGCTTGCCATGCAGCCTCCTCAGAGTGGCTCTGGGCTAAGAAAACACTTTCAAGACAGTGTGATAAGATAGTTCCAAAGGTGGCAGCGCTGCTGTCGCCTCCTGAGGCAGAACAGACCTCCTCCCATTGGCTTCCAGGAGTGATGTACCTTTGCTGCCAAATGGTCTCAGTGTGGGGTGCAGAGGGCCAGTTTCCAAGACCGTTGCCTGCTTTGAGCTCACACAGACCTTACCCTCGTGTGCCCCTGGGCGGCACCTGGCCAAGGACGGGCACCTCCCCTGCTTCTGCACCCGTCTCCCCCCGGCTCTGCAGCACCAGAGGACGTGTCCGAGGCACATTCCATCTTCCCCCATCTCCTGGCTCTTGCACTAGCCATGACAAGGGAAGCTGGGAAGAAGCTGGAAGGCACGGATGCTGAGGACTGGAGGTTGTGCTTGTGCATCTGCTCAGCCTGATGGAGGAGCCAGGACCCATGTGCAGGTCCCCACAGCTCCTGGGTCCTCAGAGAACCTCCTGATCTGTTTGGGGCTCAGTCATACCTGCTTCCTGGTGTTGCCTGAGTGTCTGTTCTCAGGCGGAACAAGCCTGTCCAAAAAATGAAAACCCCCAGAGGAGCCTAATGTCACTTTAATCAAGTGCCAACCCCATTCCCCCAATCAGTTGCTAATGTCAGTGTGTCCAATTGTCCAGGCTAGTAGTGTTCATGCCCTTTCTTCCTTTGAATGAAGGTGATACAAAGTGTTTCTACTGGGTTTTTAATACTGAGATTACGGATTTCTTCTGGAGCAGGCAGCAAATGCTGTAGAATCCTGACTTTTGACGTCAGTAGGGTCATTAAAGCTCATCTGGTCCCGCCTCTCTCAGCAGGCATCCCTAGCCCTGCCCTTCCAGCCTCCTCTCCTGACCCCCTCCCACCTCCCCTCTGCCTCCTCTCCCCGCCGGCCCCGCCCCCAGACCTGTAGTCCCGCCCCCATGGACACCTCCAGGTGGCCCTAGGCCAGCTACCCTCCCACCCCCTACCCCCAGTACTGTTCTATATTGCGCTTTGGCTGGAGCAGGCCAGCCAGGCAGGCGCTGCTCTCACTACTCCGACATCTTCCACCATTTCCAGCCCTCATCACACCTCCAACCCCACTCGTCCACCCCTGGTCTCCAGGCTGAGTGCTCAGTGCCTTTTGCTGGTCCTCATCCCCTGAACATCTAACAGGGCTGCTCTTTGGGAAACAGCGCCCCAGTTAGCCCGTGTTACTCCGAGAGGGCAGCATCCATGGGCTCGAGACCAGGGAGGCTCCGAGGGCACAACCTGGGGGTGGTACTCACCTGCAGACTCCCATTTGGTGCCCTCCACCGGGCCCCTGCACGGGGGTCGGCAGGGCAGTGTGGGCCAAGCAGCGAGGTTCACTCCCCAGGCCCCGGGTGACAGCATGGGCTCTCAGCGGCCCCCACAGTGGTTGGCACATCAGTTGGCAGCAAATTCCAACAACAGACCTTGGTTCGACATCAGCTGCCACCAAAGACTGGCCTCCCCGCCTGTGTGTGTGATGCGCTGGTAACAGTAAGGCGCCCTTGTGTGTAAACTGCTCTTCGTTTGGGGCCAACTTTATGGCTTATTTTGAGGTAGTTGCTAAATATTCTTCTGTTCAGTTGTCTTTTAAACAAAATGGAGAGTATAATGTTGGAAACAAACATGTTGCTTTTTTTTTTTTTTAAGTATTCTACTGATCTTCCATTGGAATCTGGGTTGAGCTGGATAAAGTTCTTGGCTTACAGCCAGGCGCTCATCCTGACCTTGTTCTGGTCCGCAATGATCCTCACACATTACTGAGCCATCGAGTGTCCTGTACAAGCTATAGAATTGATGCTTCCTCTAGTCTGGATAGGTCCCTGATTTCTGAGGACAATAACTTGAAAAAATAACTGACCCTGTTTTGGGATAATGAGATCACTTAAGGAATGAATGTTGTTTATAATAACTCTTATTTTTTAATGTACAGATGTAATATGTCTCACCAAGCACTGAAGGTTAGAATTTATTTTTCTTTCAATGGCTTAAAATCACTTATGGGGTTACAGGTACTTCCTAAGTGTGTTTAATGCTCTCCTTCCCACATGTCTAGTGTGGCCTTTAAAAACCACAACTTATTTGGTCATTAAATGTGCAATATTCGCTTCTTATTGTTTAGCATTTTACATGCTTGTGCGAAGGAGGAGTTTTTATATAATGATGAGAAACAAAAATTGGTTTAAGCAAAATTCTGCAAATAAACCAGAATCAAATTTAATTTACATGTGGTGGAAATGTCTCATTTTTGGCAAGTTGGTTGGCAGGTCTTTTGATCCAGAAACCTCACTAAGACAAATGTGAAATTAGAAAGCTGGTAATGGGTAGAATCTATAAATCGTCATGACCTGTCACCACACCACACCCAAGGCCTCTAGTTTCAAAGGGAATTTAACGCTTAGGGGTTTAAGACCTGGCATAGACAGGCGGCCACCTGGTGATCCCAGAGAGTTCAGGAGAGCCCTGAGTCTGTGATGTGGTTGTGACCTTAGCAAGTGGAAGGACAAGAAGCTTCTGGAATGCTCCACTGCCAGAGTTCGTGGTGGGGATGGGACACCTCGGAGGACTGAGATGCCAGGAGAGGGCCTCCTAACCTGAGCTCGGAGCTCGCTCTTACTATTCTTTTCGTTAACATTTCTTTTTTTTTTTTTTTAAAGCTTTATTTATTCATGAGAGACACAGAGGCAGGACAGAGAGGAGAAGCAGGTTCCCTGCAGGGAGCCTGATGCAGGATTCAATCCCGGAACTCCAGGATCACATTCTGAGCTGAAGGCAGGCGCTATGGGACTAGATCCCTGGACCTCAGGATCACGCCCTGAGCCAAAGGCAGATGCTCCACTACTGAGCCACCCAGGTGTCCCTTCATTAACATTTCTAAGACACATCTGGAATGGGCCAAAGTATGGTGGAGGGTCTGCACTTGTGGTATTAACATCAGTTTGGGATTTCCCCGGGACAGGACCTCTTCTACCCTTGTCTGGGTTTGGCAGATAGAACCACAGGATTTAGGACTGGACAGCAGATCAGAGACAAGCTGTGCCACCTCCTTGAATTCTAAGAATCCTGTTCCCTGTCTTGAGATGTGTGGGCTTTCTTGCTGGGCCACACCCACAGAAGTGCAGTCAGAAGTGGCCCCTGTCACTGTGGGGCGACTCAAAGGGAGAAAATCTGCCAATATAAGGATACAGAATTACTTGGGATTGGACCCCTCTAGGTCTCCCTGGGTTTGGGGCCCCAGACTTTATCTTCCACAGCCCTCCTCAAGCCCTGTGTACAAGTGACCTCAAAGGGTCCCCAGATCTGAAGATTGCCCACTCACCTCCATACCTCCACCAAAGGAGGAGGAGGAGGAGGAAGAGGGGGTGGGGGAGGGGAGAGTGGGAAGGAGGGGATAGGGAAAGGGAAGGTAGACAGAGGAGCCTTAAGACAGGCTGACTAAGGACAAGGCAGGGCACAGGTCAGCCTGGGAAGCCTGGCTGAGTCCAGGGTAAATCTGGTCTAAGCCACAAATTTAGGCTATGTTAAAATATGGTGTTCAGGTGAGAGGCCACATTGGTCACTGACATCAGATCCAGGAATGTAGGGCTGTTTCCTAAAAGGATTTGGCTAACAAAGGAAGACCAAGGGGGAAGAGGGCTGTCTTCAGAAGAGGAGCAGCTTTTGGAGGAAGATCCCAGCTCCTGCATCCTTAGATGAAGACCTTCCCTAATTCTAATTCATAAAATATGACACAGGAGAGGGGACCCTGGGAAAGAGGATGGCAGGTGGGTGAGGAAGCAGCTGGGACCAGAGCTGTTTTGTCACAAAACATGTGCGAAGAGAACTCCCTGAGGTCATGAAGGTGGAGGCACTCAGGAAATGTGGGGGGGCTGTCGGGAGGGGCAGTGACAGGGCTGAATGCGGGACAGAGCCCAGTACCCCTGACTCCAGGTCTCTAAGGTCCCAGTGGCTGGTGGGGCCATGGCTCTCGGGTCCAGGCTCGCAGGGAGGCTGTATGTGATGACCCGGCCCCACTGTGTGTTGCTTCCATCTCCAGGCAGGGCCTGCCTTCTGTAGAGACTATCTCACCATCACGGTCTTCTCATCTAGATGTATCTCCATATAAAAGTGAGGTTATTAGCAGCTCAAGGGCAGGGAAAGTGTGTTGGGCTCTTGGTAGACCTGGGTGGGCCCCGGGGCAATTGTCATCTCTTCCCCCGCCCCCCCCCCCCGCAACTGCAGCTCCAGGGGTAGGAGGTGGGGTGCAGTTGGGGGCAGGGTGGGGGTTCTCAGAAACCCTTCTCGGGACAGACGGGCTCACATTCCTGGAGCATGTGTCCTGGGCCACACTGGCGGGGTGGGGGGTGGGGGACTCCTGTCTTGAAAACGCCAAGTCTCCTGGGTCACGTATGCACACGTGCCCATTAGCAAGTATGGCAAAATGGTAGTAACTATTGAATGTAGGTGGTAGGTATCTGGGTGATTGTCTTTTACAGCTTGTGTGCGCGCGTGCGCACATGTTGGAAATGATCCTAATACAAAGTTAGGGGCTGAAGCACATGAGCTTCAACCTTCAGGCCACCGCCCCAGAAGAGCGTCAGTGAGGGCCCTTCCCTACATGGGTCACCACCTGAGCTTTGGGCAAAGTTCCAAAGGAGAGAAAGTTTGTCCCCGTGGCCTCTTCAGTCCCCTAGCTCTGTGGCCCTTCTCTTCTTGCCAGCCTGCCCTGGTCCCAAGCACCACCTCCTCCCTGGTCCCCTCCCTGATCCCAAGGACTGCACTGTGGGAGCTAAAATGCACAAGCTCGCACTGAAGTGTGAACGTGGAAGGCCAGTGTGAGAAGTGTTGGGCAGATGCGGTGAAATGGCAGGTGTTCTTGGACCTCACACGTCCAGGAAGGGCGTAGGTTGTAGGGAGAGGCCACAGCTGCAGCTGCTTTATCCACAGGACCCCACAGCCCCGGCTGCCCCTCCAGCCTCTCAGCTTTTGGTCCTTGAGGAAAATGGATCCCAGATACAGCCAGATGATGGGTGTTTCATTTCTTTTTCACAGGGGCCACAGTTCCAGGGAGTGCAGAGTGGTCAGTCGATGGGCCAAGAGGGGGGTCAGTCACAGAGGAGACCCTGGGTGGGGGGCGGGCAGGGATCCCAGCCTGCTCCTTGGACCACAGTTATATACCCCACCCCAGCCTCAGCAGCCCCAGCTCCAGGCTTGCTCTCTGGAATCCTGGTTCTCAGCCAGGCTGGTGTGTGTGTGGGGTGGCCCCCCACTTGTCCTAGAACTCTCTGCACGTCCCAAGGGTGCCTGCAAGGAGGAGCATGTGACTCACCTCACAGCTGTACATGGCTCTGTACTTCCCAAAGTCCCTTCACTCCATTATTTCCTCAGATCTTGAGAGGCTGATCCGCCAGGAGGGAAGAATATTATTGTCCATGTTCATGAGTAGACAAACTGAGACCCAGAGAGGGGGAAAAAGTGACCCGGTCCACACAGCAAGTCAGAGCCCGGGAGACCCTCTGACCAACGTCCTGCCTGTTTTACTATGATGTTCTATGTAAGAAAGGGTGAGAGTTTGTCCATAAGCTTCATGCTGGAGCTCATACATGTGCATGGGTGCACACACACACACACATTTTTTCAAAACGCTGGTCCCACTGACATAAATATCACAGGGGCTCTGGAACAGACATCCTCGCAGGAGACCAGTAAGCCTCCATGAGTGGGCTCGTGACAGCCTTTGCAGGAGGTTGCCCAGCAACGGGCTGCCAGCATGGCTGGGACCCAGGAAGGGCTGCCCCAGCCAAGTCCGGCCTTGGCCTCTGCTCCTCATGGCGTACACGTGGATGGCAGTGGCCAAGGGGTCCTCATGGTAGACATGTGGCTGCTGCTGGGTCCCGAGGGCTCATCTGGCTCAAATTCTCATAGTTGGACTCCTGAGCCTGGGGCCTGTGGACAGAAGAAAGTTGGCTGACCACCCAGGACACAAGTGGGGATGCCGCCCATTGCACAAACCACGCCCTGGGAATGGGCAGGAGGGAGAGTCAAAATGGGAGCCCAGCCTAGATCCAACAGAGGTTGCAGGGAGGGCAGTGGCAGGGAGGAGGCTACCCGGGGGTTGGGGGATGGCATCCTGGCCTGCAGGTGTACTGTATTCTGGGAGGGATCTCACTGGAGGCATCAACAACCATTGTTGGGTGCCCTCCACACGGACCTCCCTGGGCTTCGCCACCTGAGCTCCAGCTGCTCCTGGCTCCTCCCTGGGACATCTTCACGGGCATCTCAGGCCTACGTGTGAACTCCTGCATGATCCTCACTACCACCCCCTTCTCTGTTGTCTTCATCCCAGTCAGGGGCACCCAGGGCCACAGCTCCAAACCTGGGCACCCGGGCTGTGTCCCTCGCTGCCCCTCCATGTCCCCAGCCCTCTGGTCAGCTCTGCCTTCCATCTGCCCCACCTTGCCACCCCCACCCCTGCCACCTCCCTCTGAGCCGCTGGGCCAGCCTCAGCCTTGGTCAGCAGCCTCCCCCAGAGTCTCCTGGCCCTCACTCTTGTTCTGATGGGGCCACCTGGTGCTTATACCACCACTCAGTGCCTTCTCATAGGCCCCTTCTCAGGTCTCCCCTGAGCCTTTCCTTGACCTGCCCAGTGGCCACCACCCTCCCCGGGGCTCTGCGGCAGGGCCCTGTCCATTGCCTTCATGGCTCTTATTTTAGAATCTGATATGATCTTGTGTATGTGTTTATTAAGTTCCCCACATGAAAATGTGAGTTTTCTGAAGTTGGGGAAGCTGGAAGCAGCGTTAAACACCCAAAACTCTGGTCCATAGCAGGTACTCAATAAATATCTGACCACTCAGCTTTCTGAATTAGGTGCCTCGGGTGCTAGTAAATTAGCAAAGAAAAGGGACATGGCATAGGTTTTCAAGAATGTGGGGGACAGATGAACAGGCAACTAGAGAGAGGGGCTTGGGCTGGCAATATGGCTTTTCTGTCAGGCAGGGACAGAGTTATGGGACTGCCCAGGCTTGTCCAGTGGGCCCTGAAAGACTGTGTTTTGCCTCCCCCAGCATCCCAGGCACACTGCCCGGGGTCAGTGAATTGGATTCTTTCTTCTTCAACACAGACCTTCCGCTGAACAGACACAGAGAGAAGGGGAGTCTGGATCGCAGGGTGAGCACTTCCTAGCTTAAACCCTCTCAACCTCTAATAGCATTTTGTTTCCGAAGCCTTCAGCTCTGGGGGAGAACGAGTGCCCGAGGTGGCCTTTGTGTCTGTGTGAGCCTGCTTGTTCTAGAATGCCGGGGAGCAAAACCTCAAGGAATCCTATCTAGGTGTGGACATAAGACAGAAAAATGACTCCTTGGCGCCTGGACACCAGGCAGGTCTGGGAGAGATCCCAACATGAGGCCCAAACTGTGAATGCTGGGGAAGGGGTGGGCAGGTCAGCGTGGCCTGGTCTGGCCAAGAAGGACTTGGGAGACTGAAGGGGAGGGCTCTGGAAGGCCGCGGGGAAGGTCTAACACCAGTCAAGGTCAGACCCCAGCCCTGACCCTTTGCCTGTTCTTTCTCTATATGCCTTGGCCAGTGGGGACTTAAGAGCAGAGTGGGGGAAGGCAGGGTACTCACCATGGTGGGGTGTCCTGGGCAACTGGGTGCTCTGTGTGAGGGACAGAGAGAGAGAGAGAGAAGGAAGGGAGGCATGAATCTCTACAGCATCCCCGGGCTCCAGGCCCTGCCGTCCACCCCTCCCGGCTGCGGAAAGCGGTCTGAAGGGACGAGCAACGAGCACTAGCTAGCCGGGTGTGAAGTGCTTGGAGATGAGCAGCAGCTGATGACGAGAAGCATGGACTGAAGAGCCACCCAGCAGAAAAGCCCTGCCTTTGACGACCCTGAAGCGCAGAACGTTTGGTGGGTTTGAAGAACCGGCAAGAAAAGACAGTAAAGCCACAGCGAATGCAACGGCCAGGACAACTGTGACAGATTCTGGATTTCATGCTAGGAGAGTCTGAGGCCAGTGCTCTGGACCTGGGTGGTCTGAGAGGCTCTGGGAAGCCCCTCTCTGGAGCACGAGCCAATTTCCCAGCCAGCTCAGCGGGAGCAACGTGGGGTGAAGTGCAGGTCTCAAAGACACCCTGCTAGCTCCCATCTCCACACTCCCTCTGCTTGTAATACCACCGGCTCCTAGTGGCAGTTCCTGATTTAGCTGTCACCTTACTTGTAAAGCCTTCCCTCCTGGCCTGTCCAGAGTCCCCCTGGAGCGCATGCAGCATTACCATACTCTGGGCAGAAAGCTTCTGCGGGACCTGGGCTCCAGGATAGCCCTCCTCCCTGCAGACTGCAGTGATTTGCTGGCTTCCCAGCATCCCATCCCAGGGCGCATCCTACTCATCTGTCTCCCTAGCAGCTACACAGCACACAGTAGGCCCTCAGGATGCTTACTGTAACACAAGGTAGTGGTGCTATCTGGGAAAGCCTCGGTGTGGTCCTTTTCCTTGGGAAGGAGTCATTTATGGGGTGCCGGGGGAAAGGGGCGGGGCTATACTTTTGGGGTCTCTATCTCTGGGTCTCTGGGCCAGAGGCAAGTTCCTTAACTTCTCAGGCCTCAACTTTCTTAGCGTAGAATGGGCTCCTGCTGGTTCCCACCTCCTGGGACGTAAGAAGGAGGACAAAGCCAGAGGAGGCACAGGTGCAGGAAGCATGTCTGCGCTGTGCTGTGCCAGGTGCTCGGCGGACAGTGTTACCCGGGAGGAGAGCCCCGCCCGGCCCCTCGCCCCCGCCCGGGCCCAGGGTGCACCCACCTCGGCGGCGGCGGGCGGCGGCGCGGGCGGCCAGGACGCCGAGCAGCAGCAGCGCCTTGAGGCCGAGCGCGCCGAGCGGGAGCGCGAGCGCCGGGGCCCCGGGGGCGCCGCGGAAGCGGAACAAGTAGACGCTGGCCTCGGCGCGGCCCAGGCTGTTGGAGGCCGTGCACGTGTAGCGGCCGTCGTGCGCCAGCGCGGGCAGCTCGGCGGTCACCTGGTGGCCGTGCCCCTGGCCCGGGCCCGACGCGGCGGCCGAGCGGTTGCCCAGCGCCGGGCCGGACCAGGCGAGGACGGGCGGCGGCTCCCCCTCGGCCGTGCAGAGCGCGCGGAAGGCGTGCGCCGGGCCGGGCAGCACCGACAGGCTGACGATCCGCGGGGCGGCTGCGGGCGCCCAGGGCGCGGGAGGAGAAAGCAAACCGCGCTCAGCGCCGGCGGCCGGGCGCACCCCTCCCAGGCCCTGAGTCCCCGAGACGCCTGGGGGCGGGTGGCGCGGAGAGGAGCGAGCCTGTGCTCCAGCGCCGGGAGGCCTGGGTCCCCACAGAGGTGTGGCCTGGGGCAAGTTACTCCCAAGCTCCAGGTCTCAAATGGCGCCAAATGGGGATCACTCCCCTAGTGGGGTCGTTGAGAAGATTTGGCAAGTTAATACATTTGGGGTGCTTGATTCGGGCCTGGCCCACAGCCAACGCTCACCCAACTGTAGCTGGAGCTCGGGGCTGGAGCTCGGGGCTGGGGACTGGCTGCCAGTATGATTTCGAGGACCCCTCCCACTCCTGTCCCCCCACCCCGCCCCCCACAACCTCAGCAAGATCTAGAGCTGAACGCCGGTCCTGGGAAGACACTGAAATGCACCCGCAGAGGCCGCCCAGCAGCTCAAGGCGGGCACCTGGGAAGTTCCAACGAGATCCCCACAGGGGGTAAGCGCCCCAGGTAGTTCCGGGCGGGCGCAGCCAGGGTTGAGAACCGCTGCTCTGGGGACCGGGGACCCTGGTTCCTTCTTCTTTGGGGTCTAGCAAAATACTGGGCAATTGGCGGGCTCCCAGGGCACCTCCCCGGGGAGGAGGGGGCTGCGGGTGCCCGGCAGCGCACAGAGCGCACATGCCCTCGTAGCCCTTGCCATCCCTGTTCAGCTCGTGGGGCTCCGCCCCCCACCCGGACCAAGAGCCCCTGGGGCCATTCAGCCCCTAGGAGCGAAACCTCGATGCCCCTTCCCGGGCCCAGTTGCCAGGCGTCTGGGAGCCACGGACAGGTGTGCGGGGGGCAGGGGCCTGCCCTGGAGGGAGGGGCTGCGCGTGGCTCGGCTCCACTCGGCGGCGGGGGGGGCGCTGGGGGGGCGCCGGGACCGGCGGAGGGGGCTGCCTGGAGGGAGGGCTGCGCGTGGCTCGGCTCCGCTCGGCGGCGGGGGGCGGTGCTGGGGCGCTGGGGGGGCGCCGGGGACCGGGCGGAGGGGGGCTGCCCTGGAGGGAGGGGCTGCGCGTGGCTCGGCTCCGCTCGGCGGCGGGGGGGGGGCGCTGGGGGCGCTGGGGGGCGCTGGGGACCGGGCGGAGGGGTCTGCCCTGGAGGGAGGGGCTGCGCGTGGCTCGGCTCCGCTCGGCGGCGGGGGTGGGGGGCGCTGGGGGCGCTGGGGGGCGCCGGGGACCGGGCGGAGGGGGGCTGCCCTGGAGGGAGGGGCTGCGCGTGGCTCGGCTCCGCTCGGCGGCGGGGGGGGCGCTGGGGGCGCTGGGGGCGCTGGGGGGCGCCGGGGACCGGGCGGAGGGGTCTGCCCTGGAGGGAGGGGCTGCGCGTGGCTCGGCTCCGCTCGGCGGCGGGGGGGGCGCTGGGGGCGCTGGGGGCGCTGGGGAGCGCTGGGGACCGGGCGGAGGGGTCTGCCCTGGAGGGAGGGGCTGCGCGTGGCTCGGCTCCGCTCGGCGGCGGGGGTGGGGGGCGCTGGGGGCGCTGGGGGGCGCCGGGGACCGGGCGGAGGGGGGCTGCCCTGGAGGGAGGGGCTGCGCGTGGCTCGGCTCCGCTCGGCGGCGGGGGTGGGGGGCGCTGGGGGCGCTGGGGGGCGCCGGGGACCGGGCGGAGGGGTCTGCCCTGGAGGGAGGGGCTGCGCGTGGCTCGGCTCCGCTCGGCGGCGGGGGGCGCTGGGGGCGCTGGGGGGGCGCCGGGGACCGGGCGGAGGGGTCTGCCCTGGAGGGAGGGGCTGCGCGTGGCTCGGCTCCGCTCGGCGGCGGGGGGGGGCGCTGGGGGCGCTGGGGGGCGCCGGGGACCGGGCGGAGGGGGGTGCCCTGGAGGGAGGGGCTGCGCGTGGCTCGGCTCCGCTCGGCGGCGGGGGTGGGGGGCGCTGGGGGCGCTGGGGGGCGCCGGGGACCGGGCGGAGGGGTCTGCCCTGGAGGGAGGGGCTGCGCGTGGCTCGGCTCCGCTCGGCGGCGGGGGCGCTGGGGGCGCTGGGGGGCGCCGGGGACCGGGCGGAGGGGGGCTGCCCTGGAGGGAGGGGCTGCGCGTGGCTCGGCTCCGCTCGGCGGCGGGGGTGGGGGGCGCTGGGGGCGCTGGGGGGCGCCGGGGACCGGGCGGGGGTGGCGGGGGCGCCGCGCTCACCGGTCACGCGGAGCCGGACGCCGTGGCGGCTCTCGTACCGGTCGTGGACGTCGCCGGCGAACTCGACGCGGCAGAAGTAGCGGCCGTCGTCGGCCAGGGCGAGGCGCTCGACGCGCAGCGACAGGTCGTTGCGCCGCGGGTTCCCGAGCAGCCGGAAGCGGCCGTGCAGGCTCAGCGCCGTCTGGCAGAGCTCGCTGCCCCGCGCCGCCGCGCACCGGAACACCTGCGGGCCCGCGTAGACCTCGCCCGCGCGCCAGATGGCGGTGAGCGGCCCGTCGTAGTGGCGGTGCGGGTGCGTGAAGGTGCAGGGCAGCACCGCCGCCTCGCCTGCCGCCGCGCTCACCTCGGCCGGCACCTGCATGGACCAGCGCTGCGCCGGCGCACCTGCCGGCCGGGAGCGGGCGTCAGCTGCCTCCGGGGTGTGTGTGTCCAGAAGCCCACCCCGTGCCTTGCGAGGCATCTCCTGGGATCCTGACTTGCCCTGACTCCCGAGGCCCCCGGGCCCTCCCCGCCCTTCCCGCGGACTGTTTGCCTCACTCGGGCAAGTTCCACCTCACCTACAGGTCCCCTGACCGCATACTTTTCCCCAACACCTGCCCTGCTGCCGAAAAGCCCTGGGATCCGCGGTCACAATACCCCCACCCCCGCCACCCCCCCACCCCACCCCCGCCTCCGCGATGGTGATAATAAAAGCACTTACTGTGCACCTCTGTGTTGAGCAAGTTCCCGGTAGTATCTCTCTTAGTTCTCACAAAGGATCCTAGATGGAAGCACAGTTATCCTTGGGTTACATGTAATAAACTGAGGCCCAGAGAAGTTGATTAATTGCCTAAGGCCACACAGCTACAAGGAGGCAAAGCCAGCGCTGAGACTGCAGACAGCCTGGCCCCACAGCCAGTGCCCTAGTGCACTAAAGGTGTGGAAGCGTGGAGCTGGTCCAAGGAGACCCAGAACCCCATCCACAGACGGGAAACAGGCCCTGGGGAGGCCTGGTGTGTTTTGAACTTAATGTGTTGAGTGGGTGGATGAGGTTGCTTTAGAATCCAGGTCAACCCAAATAGGCTTCCTCAAAAGCCAGATAGGGAGACAAGAGGGGTAGACCTTTGTGCTGTCTTTGTGCTCAGTGCCAGAGCCTCTGGGCCTAGTTTCCTCCACCTCCTATGCTGTGAGCCTCTGAAGTAAGGCCGAGCTGAGGTCTGGAGGCGGTGCTCTGCGGAGAGCCCCTGCCGCACTTGTTGCATATGTGTGCTGTTTGGGGAAGGGGTGAGCAGCTGGATGGGTGGGTGGGTGTTGGAGCTGGGCCTTGGAGGATCAAGGCCAGGGGTGGTGTCTCCCTGAGGAGGGAGGACAGGCTGGTAGGCCTGCCCAGCTAGAACCCCGAATGCAGTTCACAAAAGGGATCTTTAGAGGGAATGATATAGCTGCTCTTGTATTTCCCGAGAGGTCTATATTTCACAGTTCTTTTATATACATCATGTCACACGTCTCTCAACACACCCTAGGGGAGACAGGCAGTGGGGATATTGTTATAGATGAGAAAATGGAGGCCCAGAGTCACACAGAAGATGGGAGACACCCAGCTTTTCTGACTTCAGACCCAGTGCTCTTTAGTCTTCAGGGGTAGTTCATGCCTTGCATAGGAATCCCCTCAGCCTACAACCAGTGACCCTTCCTGCTCCAAGAAGCCTATCCCATCTATGAATTATCTACAGGTCGCCATTCCTCCTGCATAGAACCAGCATCTACCACTACAGACTGACATGGCCATCATTGTTCTCTGGAACATGCACATGGCCTCGAGATAGTGGCCCTTCTGGGACCCCATCATGGCTATCCTGGACTCGTTAAGCCTTCCGTTCTTTGGTGCAAGTCCCTAGCCTGCACCTGTCCCTCTCCTTCCTCACTGCCTGAGTCATGCCCTCCTTTCAGTTTCGTGGCCAGAGCTGGGGCCCCCAGGTGTGTGCTGCAGGTGTGTGCTTCAGGTGTGTGTTGCAGCGGCTCTGAACTAGCAGCGAGGGGTACAAATTGGGTTGTGTGAGCTCTGCCTCGTATAAAACCACGCTTGGGGCTTATGCCAAGCTTGCAATCAAGTAAAGCACAGGTACTTTTTTCACACAATGTACTTGTAAGCCAAATCTTATTTCTCCTGGACAAGTGGAATTATGCTTTTGAAGCCAAGTGGAAGACATGACATTTATCTTTAGGAAGAGCTTGTTTGCTCAGTTGTTAAGAATCAAATGGCCTGGTTTCAAATTAGAGAAACACTTTCTGAAGATTTTGCTGGTTTACCCAGTACTGCCAGATGCAGGAAGCATTTCCCCACTCCTGAGGCTCAGCATCTGCCTCAGTCTCCCTACACTTCCCACCCTCTGTAGCCTCAGCCTCCCCTGACCTCATGCATCTTGTGGGCATCATGGAGCTAGGTACTGATTGATTCCCCAGGTAGCTGTTACTATTGTGCATTCATCGATTAGCAAACGCTTATCAAACACGATCCCACTCTAAGCCAGGCACTTGGACACAAGCCAGGGTTACAAAGATCAACCTTATCAGCCTGCTGGAGCTCCCCGCTCAGAGGGGGAGACAGATCTGTGCGCACATAATTATACTACAGCCTGCCAGGTGCTCTAATGAGGCACACGAACAGTGTTCCTTTGTCTGAACAAAGTTCCTGGCCCATTTCACTCACCAACTCCCTCCCAGTCACCCCCAGTCCCTGCTGAATTGTCCTACAGTGGGAGGCCTTCCCTGAACCCCAGGCCTGGGTCTGGCATCCTCACCCAGTGCCCCAGGGTTGGCAGAAGGACTTCCTCTGTCTGGGCCTATTCAACTGTGTGTCCCACGCAGGTACCCAGAAGCCCTGGAGGGCAGGGACCATGGCCATGCGGTCGTCTTTGTGTTGTCATTGCCCAGCGGTGCATTTGCCACGTAGTAATTGATGGTGAATTGCTGTAATGGGCTGAAGGGACAGTCCCCAGGTTGGCAGGGGAGGGGGTGCTGTGGGCTGTGGGGAGAGGTGCAAATATTAGACAGGAAAAACAACAACAACAACAACAACAAAAAAAAACAAATATTAGACAGGGAATGCTTGGAGGACCCCGGAGAGAGGAGGCGCTGGATTTGCCAAGCCTTGAGGTAGACTGAAGGCTTTCTGAGCAGAGGGGGCAGGTGGGCAAAACCGTGGAGGTGAGGACGTCAGCGGAGAGGTTGCGGGGCATGCCCAGATAGCGGGGCCAGGCGACACTGTGCTTTGGGGACTCCTTGGGAGACGTTTCATATCATTTCATGTGCACGAAGGCCCACGAGGGACTGGCTATCGCCCTGAGGCTCAGAGAGGCCATGTGACCGTTGCAAGGTCATCTGACTGAACGGATGCAGAGCTAAGGCTTCCCCTTCTGTGCTTCATGTTCTTCCTTTGTCCCCATGCTATGTTGCCCCCAGGATGACAGCCTAGAGGGGACACATCCTAAAGTGTGATAAAAATGGTAGGCCTCCCTCTCCTGCTCCCTCCTTCCTGGGGGCTCTTGCTCTAGGCGCAGGGAGGGCACACAGAGGCCCTTTCAGCCAGTGTTAAGATCCTGGCTCCTGTCAGGGGGAGATTTGTTTCCTGTTTACCTGCTGGGTAGTGTTTCCAGAGGCAAATCCCTGGACTCCCTCTTACACAGAAACTTGGGACAAATCCACCCAGGGACCCAAGGTGAGGGTGGGAAGTCCTAGCAGGGATTGCCCGGGAGCAAGTGCATTTGCTTTGGTAGGAATCCAAGCTCCCCAGCATCCTGTGACATTTGTCATTCCCTCTGCCAGGTCTCTCAAGTCTTTAGAACAAGGGAAGGAACACTCCTGAACTGGAACCATGGCCCCCTGTTGTAAAGACTCTGATCTCCCTGCCTTGTGACTGTCAACCTCTGAGGCCAACAGGAGACCCATGCTCTTTGCGCTGTCCAAGATACTGCCCGGCAGGAGTGGACCACAGGGCATGCTTCCGCACAGCTGGACCTGGGTGACAGTCATTCTTGTGGTCCTTCTTTCCCAAACTTCTATGAGCACCCAATCTGAGCCTGGCTCTGTTCTAGGCTCATACGCTTACGGGGTGATCTTTGGGCAGGTTACTTAATGTCCCGAGTCTTGGCCTCCCCCTTGGTCCCCTCATGGACCTGAGGGTTGAATGAAGTCACTCGTGTAGCTTGTCTTGCAAATGCTCAATGCATATTAACCCCTTCTCCCACCCCCCCTGCAAAAAGAGTGTAAATGCAAGGGAGCAGGGTGAGGGTGCTGGGCAGTGGTGGAGGAGTGCTCAGGGCAGGCATCTCCAGGTGATGCAACAGGGGTGAAGACATGGTGCCCTGACATCGCACCTTTTGTAGCTCAGTCTGGCATCTTAGACCATGTGGGAAGTCACTGCCCATGGATGTACTATGCCTCCTGGACGGACAGGTGTACGGTGCTCAGAACTGGCATCCCTTGGAGCTCTGCGGTGCTCCTGCCCCTCCCCCCGTGGTGACTGATGTCACCAGTGGACAGGCAGGCACTCCAATGAGGTCCACTGTCTGGAAGGGGGCCACCTTTCTTGGGGACATTTGGCATGTTAACAGGGACATTTGCAGGCAGTGACTCCAATGGTAGCCTCTTGGGCATGGTGGCGTCTGGATGGTCCAGAGAGGGCACCTGGGGGCAAGGAGAGATGTTTACATTGGCCAGCAAACCTCCCCAGTGAGGTGTGTGGGTTGAACTGAGGGCACGCTTCCATCCAGTTCCATCCTGCCCGAATTTGCTCCCAGCAGGGCCTGAGGAACCACATCTCTCAGTGAGGACCGGATCCAGAAGGTTCTAGGGAAGGGATGAGGAGCAGGGATGCCCACTGGGAAGGGCCGGCTCTGACCTCGGGGTGATCCCGGATTCCCAGGTCACCTTCCCTCTCTGCCCGTTGGTTGTGCAGCTCACTGGAGCTGCAGGCGCAGAGCCACAGTTGACCATGCTCTGGGGCCAGTGTCCGCCGCAGGGTGCCACTTGGCCTCTGTCTGTGCTTCCCCCAGCCTCTTCAGGGCCCTGTGCCCCATCAGTCCTCTTCCGCCCCACGGGGGACTTCTCAGCTCTAGCTAGTGGCCACAGCAGGTACCCAGAGCAGAAGCAGCATCCAGGCTCTTGAAACTCCCCTATTTTCTTCTGGCCCCAGGACAGGAGCCCATCTCCTTCCTGGATTTTCCCTGCACCCCCAGGTCCTGGGGCAGCAGCTTTGATCTGTCTTGCCTTTGGTTTGCTCTCAGCCTTGGTTCAGAGCTGGTAAATTCCTCTGCGCACCAGGCTGGGTTCTGGGCTCACTGCCACTGGCTGTGGGTGATGTAAAGTGTGGAGCTTGCACTCAGGACACCCCCAGCCGTTCAGGCTGTGACACCCCAAAAAGTCACCCAACTTGACAGAGGGACAAGGATTCCTCACTTTGTAGAGTCGTGGTGAAGAGTGAACAAGCTGCTTGTCAAGGCCTGATGCCAAAGTCCTTGAGGGTGACATCTACTGTGATTGCTCCACCTGCTTATCAGAGGTTTGTGGACCAATCTCAGTCAAGGTCACTGGGTGGTCAGAACTCCCAGACCACTGTTTTCCCCACCTGCATGATCCCTGACACCTGAGCCTTCTTTTTCTTTTTTTGAAGATTTTATACATTCATGAGAGACACAGAGAGACAGACAGAGACACAGGCAGAGGGAGAAGCAGACTCCCCGTGGGGACTTGATCCCAGGACCCTAGGACATGACCTGGGCCAAAGGCAGACACTCAACCAATGAGCCATCCAGAGACCCCTGTCTCCAACCTTCTAAAAGCATATTTATGGGGACCCAGAGGGGAAAGACATGGGAGAGCATGTGTGTGAGCCCCTTGGGAGACTAGGGGCTGCCCCAGGACACTGGGTGCGGGAGGTGAGTGCATGAAGGAGAAAGCACAGACGGTAGAAGGGCGCTTCCTGGACAAATTCCTTTCACTTTGCTTTTGCCAAGGGCCTGCCCTGACCTGGATGCGGCTGGGGACAGGACTGTGACCTCCAGGCACCCCGCTCACGAAGCCCCTGGGGGTCCCACATTGCAGCCAAACCCAGCCTGGTCTTCTGGCCTCTTGCACAGGCCTGCTGCTACACGAAAGGGCTCAGAGGTGCACGTCCCCAGAGGGACTTCAGAAAGTGGGACCCCGCTCACCCTAGTTCTTGGACCTCTGGGTTGTAGCAGTGAAGCAGCTGCCAGTATGAGAAAAAAGGATCTCCCCCAGGTGCCTCAGCCTCCCTGGGTAAATCTTGCTACACAGCTGGAGCACTTGTATGGTTGGGGTTTTGTTCTTGGGACTGCTCACGCTTCCTCTAAGTCTTTTTGTCTTTGACTCATAGCAGCTGACCTTCAACAGGAGAAAAGAAATAAACCAAAACAACCCTCCCCAAACCCCCCTTCTGTCAAGGTTGTGTGACTTCAGCAAGATTTCCCTGCCATTTATTGCACAATCACTGAGCACCAGCACTGTGCTGGGGGCGGACTGGGACCCGGGGCGGGGGAGGGGGCTTTTATCCGTGATCTAATTATCCTCCACAACACCTCACAAGGCACCAGGCCATGCTCTGAGAAGTTAGGCGACCTGCCTGGGGCCACAAAGCCAGTCCATAGCAGAACCAGGATTCAAGGGCGTGTGTGATGTCAACACTCACATCTGAACCACTCACTTCTCAGCTCTGGGTCTGGGTGGGGTCACCTCCTCCAGCCCCCACCCTCTAAGTGGGGCACAAGCCTAAATCATCCCAGGAAGACAGCTGAGTTAGATCACTCTGGGAAAAGAAAACCTCTTCCCTCTCAGTCCCCCCACCGCCCCCCCGCGGGCTGTGTCCTGGGACATCTAGGCAATGTGGGGGGTCCAGTCCCGAGTCACATATCCCAGCTCCACCCACACCACTCACTGAGCCTCTCTGTGCTTCTGTTGCCTCATCTGTGAAAAGAAAAGAGAATAGTTCTTTTCTCATACGGTTATGAGGTTTACGTGAATTACTAACTAAAGTGCCCAGCACAGGGGTGCCTGGGTGGCTCCGTGGCTGAGCATCTGCCTTCAGCTCAGGTCATATTCCGGAGTCCCGGGATCGAGTCCTGCATCGGGCTCCCCGCAGGGAGCCTGCTTCTCCCTCTGCCTGGGTCTCTGCCTCTCTCTGTGTGTCTCTCATGAAGTAAATAAAATCTTAAAAAAAAAAAAATATCTAAACCAGACCTGAACTGGACTCTGCATCTGTCGAATGCTTGAGAGGAAGGGAAAGGAACCTAAGGTGTGGGAGTTTATAATCCAATCGTGCAGACAGGACCCCAGACAAGAGATGCTGACTAACTCACGGCTCCGTGATGGCAGTGATGTCACCGTGTGACACATGACAGCCAGGGGCCCTGCACATGGGGGCACCGATTCTGAGCTGGGGGCACAGTCATGGGAGGGACATGGGGCTCAGAGGATGGCCTTTGTCATTTATCCTGATGGCCCTCAGCAACATGGTCATCGTTCATCAGAATGACCCGAGAAAGGGTGCCTGGGTGGCTCAATCCACTAGGTGTTCCAGGAGGGGCATTGGGTTTCGGCTCCAATCTAACTTCAGGATGGTGAGATTGAGTGCACTCTGCAGTCTGCTTGTCTCTGTCCCCAACCCCCACCCCACTAAAATAAACAAATAAATCTTAAAAAAAAAAAATACCCAACAAGATGGTTGAAAATATAGACTCCTGAGTCCTGTGGCCTGATATTCTCATTTTACAGGTCTGGGGTGAAGCCAAATATCTGTATTTACTATTTATTTATTTAAGTCTATTTATTGATTGATTGATTTAAATTTATGAGAGACTCACAGAGGGAGGCAGAGACACAAGCAGAGGGAGAAGCAGGCTCCCTGAGGGGGGCCCGATGCAGAACTTGATCCCAGGACCCTGGGATCACAACCTGAGCCAAAGACAGATGCTCAACCACTGAGCCACCCAGGTGCCCCAGGATCTGCCCTTCGATAAATGCCCCTCTCCCCACCGAAGTTCTGATCCAGATGCTCCATAACTAAAACATTTCCCAGGGACGCTGGCTCACTGAGCTGAGTGACCAATGACGTTGTCATTTAAGCCTGCTGCAAAGAGGCTTTTCTGTGCAGCCCTTGGGGTTCCCACGGAGTGGTCTGGTGCCCTCTCTCACTTGCCCTGTTGCCCATGTGGAATCACCCCCGCTCTTGCCCCAAACAACTGCGTGCTCTCCTCCCTTCCCCTCCCCTCCCCTTGGGGCTGTGCCAGTCAAGACATAAAGCACTTGGATGACAGTCACACCCGGAGTCCCTTCAGAGCCGGGACTGTCCTCCCCAAAGCTCGCCCCTTAGCTGCCTGGATCTGCACAGCAGTGGGTGAGCCTTTCTACAGGTGGGGCCGTTAAGGACTAGAGAAGTCAGGGCATCACCTGAAGTCATCGGAAACCCCAGGTAAACCCCGGTCTTGGACTTCTGACGTCCGTCATCACAGCTCCTTAAGGATGCAGCTCTTCCTCTGCAGGCCTGGAGGCTCCGGGTTGCCCCGAGTGCGAGGGGAGAGGACCGTACTGAAGATTTTGTGAGCATCTATTATGTTCTGAGCATGGACCAGAGAGAAGAGTGGGAAACTCACCCATTGGGAGGATGCCCACCAGGCAGGCCAGGAGTCGGATGGACCATTCCATGTTGAGAGTGTCTGGACACCCCGGGCCAGCCCCGCATTCGGCTGGGCTACCCTGAGAGGGTGAGAGGCCTCCCTGGCGAGGCCACAGGAGAGGGCAGGTGAGGGGATGGGCGGGGGGCCCAGGACTGCACCCCTACCGGGCTCCGGGCATGGGAGGAACTGGAGAGAGGCAGTCAGGCGGCCTGGATATGATTCAATGAGGCCCGTGGGGTTTAGTCATGTGGAAAACCAAACAGGGGAACCACTCGGATGATTTTCCAGGACTGGAAATAGAGAAGTACATGAGGAAGATGAAGGACCCATTCCTGCGGCCCCTGGTCCCTCTGGAAAAACTGTTGTTCTTATGCTGCCTGCCTTCCCTCCTTCTTTCTCTCCCTCCCTCTCTCCCTCCTTCCTTTTTTTCTCCCCTCCCTCTCTCCCTTCATACATTTTAGTGTGCCAGTATGGGTTTTCCTTTTTTTTTTCTTTAAAGAGAGAGAGAGAAGAGAGAGAGAGAGAGAGAGAGCGAGCCTGGGGAAGAGGGGGCCAGACGTAGACTCATAGAGGGGCTCCATCTCACAACCCTGAGGTCATGCCCTGAGCCGAAATCAAGAGTCTGAGGCTTTAACAGACTGGGCCAACCAGGCACCCCCACAGCATGAGTTTTCATTCTGATGCAGCTATCTTCCTGTGGCCATACCGATTTTGAAGTGGTGATTATTCATGGAAGAATAATTGTCTCCAGAAATGTAGTCATCATTGACACCGGTTACATTACCAAGCAGCACGACAGGGAAATACTGAAATTATTAAGCAAATCAATCCAGACGAACATGTCGAAATGCTCCAAACATCAAAATAGCAGATAGAAACTTCATAGTTGTTGCAAGGAGCTGTCCAGAAAGCTGGACAGAAAAGTGGCCAGGTAGGGGGCTGGCAAAGAGGAGCCAATCCTTGGGTAGAGGGAAATGTTTCAGTTAGGATAAAGGCTAATCTGCTAGAGAGAGAGAGAGAGAGAGAGAGAGGCTCTCATATACAATAGATTAAAAAAATAGAAGGTGATGTCTCTCCCATATATCAGTCCCAAGGTGAGCTGTTTCCAGTGACAGATGGCCTTGCTTCTCCTGGCTGTTCTGGGATCCAGGCTCCTTCATACGTTATATGCTCCTTCCCCTGCAGCATTGTTAATGCCTTTTAAGGCCAATGGTGGGAATCAGGCTTGTTTAAGGGGAAAGATAGAAACTCTAAGTCAATTAACTTGTCTTTTTGGTTCTCGTGATCCAGCAGCTGTATCCATCACATCCACACACATCCCATGGGCCCAAACTTGGTCATTCGAGCACACCCACCGCAAGGGAGCCCTGGGAATGAGGTCACTTCTAAGGCAGTCCTATGGCTACGTGAAAATGTATTACCATGGAAGAAGAGGACAGATGCTGCTGGATAGTTACCTGTCTCTGCAACAAAGATTTGCTATAACTATAGAAAATGAAACTTTGTGGGGATCCCTGGGTGGCTCAGCGGTTTAGCGTCTGCCTTTGGCCCAGGGCGCAATCCTGGAGTCCCGGGATCGAGTCCCACGTCAGGCTCCCGGCATGGGCCTGCTTCTCCCTCCTCCTGTGTCTCTGCCTCTCTCCCTCTATGTCTATCATAAATAAATAAATCTTAAAAAAAAATGAAAATGAAACTTGGGAAAAGAATGGATTCTGTAACCTCAAAGACGTCATTGAAGGAGGCACCTTTATTTTATACACTACTAAGGGAGGAAAAAAGACTTTCTATCTTTTTATAATTATAAGATACCATTGACAGTAATGTGCATCCAGAATTCAGAAGTGTAAAAATGTGAAAACGTCTGTCCCCCTCCCACCTTATCATCAGAGCATGAGCGGGCCTCTTTCCCCTTCCTAGAGCTGGCCACCATCTGTGCTGGGCCCCTTCCTCTGAGCTCCTAGGCCTCAGTAACCTTCCCCCACCCCACTCCTGCCTCAGCCCTGAGACTGGTAGCTGCTTCCTCTACTTACTAACACTTGGGTTACACAGAATCTCCTCCTTTCTTATTTATCCTTCAATTTTCTTTCTTTTTTTTAAAAAATATTTTATTTATTTATTCATGAGAGACACAGAGGGAGAGGCAGAGACAAAGGCAGAGGGAGAAGCAGGCTCCATGCAGGGGACCCGATGTGGGACTCAATCCCGGGACCCGGGATCACATCCTGAGCAGAAGGCAGATGCTCAACAGCTGAGCCACCCAGGTGGTCCATCCTTCAATGTTCTGTGTAAGTAGCAGATTATACTGTGTTTGATACGTGACCTCAGAATATCTCAATTTAAGAAGTCTATTTTTCCCCAAGTTCATCTCTATATTCAACACAATCTCAATCAATACATCAATGGACTTTTTTTTTTTCTACAAGCAGATTCTAAAATTTCTATGGAAAGACAAATGAGCTAGAAGAGCCAGAATTGGTTTCCTGAAAAGAAGAATGAATTGAGAGGACTGTTGTTACGTGATTTTGAGAACCACGGTAAAGATACAGAAACCAAGATAATGTGGCAGTGGTGGGATGTGAGCCACAAAGATCAATGAGCAGAATTGAGAGTCCAGAAATACCAGTGCAACTAACTGATTTTTGTCAAGAGTCCAGAGGCAATGTGCTGGAGAGAGGATAATCTTTTCAACAAATGGTTTTGGAACAATTGGATGTCCCTATACCAAAATAAGTAACTAGATATATAAACATAAAAAAAGGACCTTGACCCCTAACTCACACCTTACATAAAAATTAACTTAAAATATCGTATAGACCAAATTGTAAAATGTAAAACTATAACATTTCTAGGGGAAAACAGGAAAAAAAGTCTTTGTAAGCTTAGGTTAGGCAAAGAATACTAATTTTAAAAACTGATAAACTAGATTTCGTTAAAATTGAAAACATTTACTCTCCAAAAGACACTGTTAAGAGAATGGAAAGACAAGCCACAGACTGAGAGAAAATATTTGCAAATCACATCTCTGACAGAGGATCTGGATCCAAAATATACAAAGAACCCTTGAAAACCAACACTACGAAAAGAATAATTTAAAAAAAAAAAAAAGAATATCAAGGGGCAGCCTGGGTGGCTCAGCAGTTTAGCGCTGCCTTCAGCCCAGGGCGGGATCCTGGAGACCCGGGATCGAGTCCCACGTCGGGCTCCCTGCGTGGAGCCTATTTCTCCCTCTGCCTGTGTCTCTGCCTCTCTCTCTCTCTCTCTCTCTCTGTATGTTTCCCATAAATAAATAAATAAATTTTTTTAAAAAATCAGGGATGCCTGGGTGACTCAGCACCATGACTGGGGCAGTGGACATGTGATCCTGTCAAATTGCAAATGCAACTGCGTAGAATCATACACCACAGAGAATGAATTTGACAGATGTAGTTTAAAAAAATTAACCCGGGTATGGGGAGAACCCCAAATGGAGCACAGAAGACGACACAATACCAGAATGCATCCCAAGAGAATAGCTTAGCCCACGGGAGAGAAGAGCAGAACTGGCCTGGGTTTTTTGGAAAACTGTTGTGCTGAAGTTAGTGAGTTAGCTTCTCATAAGGAAACAGCTAGAGGTTCTGAAACCATGTGTGTATATACGAGTGTTGAAGGGCTAAGGAGATGCAGTGTAGATAATGAGCTAGATTTCCCTCTGCTAGAGAAAAAAGCTCCAGTTAATGACAAGGGAAAGGCTAGAATGACCCCGTTTAAATCGGAGTGGAATTGGAGGAGTCAGAAATAAAATCCTGGGGTTTTTAAAGATTTTTTTTTTATTCATTCATTTGAGAGAGAGAGAAAGAGAGTACAAGCAGGGGGAGAGGCAGCGGGAGAGGGAGAAGCAGGCCGCCCCCTGAGCGGGGAGCCTGACGTGGGGCCCCATCCCAGGATGCTGAGATCTTGACGTGAACTGAAGGCAGACATTTAACAATCTGAGCCACCCCCAGGTGCCCCTAAAATCTTGGTTTTAAAGTGTATATACAGGGGGGCTGGGTGGCTCAGTGGTTGGGTGTCTCCTTTTGGCTCAGGGTGTAATCCCCAGGGTCTGAGATCGAGTCCCGCATAGGGCTCCCTGCATGGAGCCTGCTTCTCCCTCTGCCTGTGTCTCTGCCTCTCTCTTATGTGTCTCTCATGAATAAATAAGTAAAATCTTAAAAAAAAATAAAGTGTACATACGGGAAGCTGCAGAGCCCGTAGAGCTCCTAATGCCGAGGCTGGTAGGTTGAGGAGTGTGTAACACTCAATAGGTGGTAGCTGCATGTGCGTGTGGACATGCACATGTGCATTATAGATATGCATCCATACATCAAACCCGTTTATATACACACATGCGTGTGACAGGCACATAGACACATGTGTATGTACACAGAGTGGCTGCTCAGTTAAATGATTCTCTGTATTTGTTCGTGTAATTACTGGTCAATAAGCTGATGCCACTGTTCCCCAGTCTCTCCGGGCTGGCTCATTTGTGGCTTCTCAGTAGGGTGACTATGATTTCCTATCTGAGCCGGGACACTTTTGTGTGGGACCAGTGCTAAAACTGTTGGCACCACCAGTCCGAGAGTCATAAACTGTGACTGTCCTGGGCGAATCAGACCTGTGGTCCCTCTTCTAGAAACATCCAGCACTATGAATCTCTGGGCAGAGTCTCTGGTAGGCTTTAGGGATCTACGTATGAATGCTGGGGTGGGGCAGGGGGAGAGCAGAGGGCGGGAGAAGGCGTCCACCTTCCCAGTTATGGAAAGCAAAATATGGGCCTCTCATTTTGAGGTCCTTTGCCTTAGTGTTCCTGGGAGTCACCACCTGAGAGGATTGGGATGTATGTGGACAGACAGGCCTCTGAGGGTGAGCTGTAAATTGACACCAGCGTCCGAGTAGTTGAGGAAACACAGAGTATAAATCCGGGGCCACTGTGATTTATATGCCCGGTGATGTTGTGCAGTATACAGCCTGCCCAACTGTATGTGGTCACCCCGTATGGATACTTGGGAGAAG